CTACTACTGCTACTACTACTACTACTATAATACTACTACTACTACTACTACTACTGCTACTGCTACTACTGCTACTACTACTACCAGTACTACTACTACTACTACTACTACTACTACTACTAGTACTGTTCCTACTTACTACTACTTCCTACTACCACTGCTACTACTACTACTACTATTATTACTACTACTACTACTACTACTACTACTTTTACTATTCCTACTTACTACTACTTCCTACTACCACTGCTACTACTACTACTACTACTACTACTACTACTACTACTAGTACTTGCTGCTACTGCTACTACTACTGCTGCTGCCGCTGCTGCTGCTACTGCTACTACTACTAATACTATGACTACTAGCATTCTTATTGCTTTTATTATTGGTAGGACCACTTGACCACTAGAGCCACTTCGTACCGCCTCCAAAAACCGTTGTGGCCACAGAACGAGAAAAATGGCGGCCACAGAAAACCTCCACACCGGCGAGGTTGCGATTAGTGTCCGGCCACTCCACTTGTAATTGGATGTAATTGGACAGTTAAGTCTTGCACGATGCCAGAGCAATGTAGAGGAGGTCCTCGTATCTGCCAGCCCATCCAGCCCGAGATTTCCAATCCTTTTGCCGAGGCAGCGCCTGAGCCATCGTTGCTTTGAGGTGGCGTGTTTACAGGTTACGCCAGGCGCAGGGGAGCATGCATTTTTTTCATGTGGAGCAGATGGTCAAGTGCTTCTGCAATTGCCAAGCCGTGTGCACACCCTTGCCGTGGCACTCCGGCAATTGTCTTTCGAGCCGGTAGAGATGCATGGCCATGCAGGGCCTGCAGGGTTAGCCAGAACGCAGAGCAAAAAGACCTATAGAGTCTTTCATACCTCGCCTCCGTCGCGTCTCAGGGCCTGTGCGGCTGGTTGGTGAAGTCTCGTGCGGCTGGCCTGTTTCTTCGCTCGGTTCAAGCGGAGGTGCAAAGTCCGCCGCGTGCCAGGCACACTCCCGCGGATCCAGCACATGGGCAAACTTTTGCGGCTTGACCAAAACCCGCACGGACTTGGCTTTACAACGGAAGTGAAATTGCTCTCCAGGAAAAGGCAGGTGTTCGGTCGAGCGACTCGCATCTCTTACAGCAAAACGACGACGCACTGTCAGCAAGAAAAAGCTTCTCCAAGTATACTACTGAACACATACACTGTGGATGTCACCGGTGCTTTCTCCGAGAGCGAGCTCAGACTTGCGGTCAAGGCCAATAGTTCCCTGTCTTGGAACTGAACATCCTTGGGGGCTGCGACTTGTAGACTCTGTCGGCGTGGCTGCTCCCGTCAGATGCTTGTTCCTGACGGGTTCCGATAATGTTCACTACACAAATCGTCGGTGTGCCACTCCTTTTGCAAGTCTTGCATATCTGTGTCCGACGTGAACGTTTACAGCGTGCATTTCCGACTGTAGTGTGGGCTTTCAGGTGGACCGATTGGCTTTGTGGCTCCGCTGCTCGGTGCCAGCCAGGGTGCAGGTGCAGTGCCGAATGCCAGCTAGTGTCGTCGAATGCACGTGCTCGGAGGCTGCAGCCAAGCTACATGCAGACGATCTTCCGGACGACAAGGCCTGCTGCCTCCAGGATCTCACCATTTCAGTTCTCTATGTTCTCTTTGTCTTGTACAGGACCGAGGAGAAGCACTTGGAGTGCAGCTCGGGACCCAGCTGGACCGTGAACCGTCGGGCGCGCCTCACCTTGGTTTCTGGAAGGCGTGGAAGGGAGACAGCTTTCAGAGCGAAGTTTATTGATGGCTTCGGAAGGACGGGGAACCCAGAGGCCAGGGACAGGCTCGTGCACTGAGCGGCAAGGACCATCCTGAACGCCTCCGAGTATTGGCTCCGCTGGTCACTGGTGCCTACCGGAAGCAAGGACGGAGTTCCATTTCAGAAGGCTGGAAAGGGAATGCCCTGGCTGCCTCAGACGACAGACAGCTTTGCGGTTTTGCGCAGGCATGGCTATCCACCGGCAAGGAGCCCTGTCCGAAGCGCATTGTCGATGGAGTGCACATCTTGCTTGATGGGCGGGATGTTGGCCTTGGCCTTTGGCTGCAAGACCGGGTAGAAATTCGGGGGGCAAAATATGTTCACAGGGACATGGATTGCGGGGTAGCAATGTCGGGATGTCAGGGCAGCGCAGACATCGCGTATTTGGCTACGTGGTCGGGTAGGGCCTGACTGTGTGCCATAGAAGGCCGGACCTCTACACGAAGCACTGCGAGCGTGCATCCGCTCAACGACCGAAGCGGAAAACCTCAGTTGCAATCGTTATAACTGTCTTTTCAAAGAATCAGAGTTGTTCTGCGCTGCGTGACTCTGGACCGATGAATGCCTTAACACACCATCCGATTAGCAGCGAATCCATGCTCAAACCGTTGAACTCCGCTCAGCCCATCCGGTTACTAACACCACTTTTACCCTGAAATCGTGCAAAAGCCCGAGTTTTTAAGCACATTCGATGTCCACAAACCCACTTGCAAAGTACGCTTGCGTGCTCGCGAGCGATCTACTTCCTCGGGGCCCCGGGTTCGATGCTTCCGGTCTTACCTCGACCACGGCACAATCATGTACCTGCCACTCGAGATCGAGGCCTTTTTGGAAACTTAACGGCAACCAGTCCGCTTCGGAGTCCTACCCAGGCCATCCCAGACCTGTACCTTCTGTCTACGGTCCCAGCACAGGTGAACAGGACCGCCGCCCAAGGCAATGCCGGCTCGCCCAGTTCGAGATTAGTCCCACAGGCGTCCGCCATGGAACCTTGCCTCCCTTCGCGGTAAGAAGAGGATGTGGAAATGCTGGTGCGGCCGTAGCTCATGCATGCGCAACTAACAGGGCCCGCGGGCTAATGTTAGGTACCGGCACATACCGGCACCTTTTCCCAGAATGACATGTCAACCTCGTCATTCCGTTTATTCCAATACCCGTACAAAGATTAATTACAAAGTTTGTAGTCTGCGTGGCTGAAGCTTCATGGTCCGACTTACTCTGATCCTGTTGGTCCCTATTCTTCTGTCAGCTGTGCGAGCCTTAATTTAGAGTCTACGGGCGGTCCAACTTGCCTCTGCCCCGCCTGACCCCAAAACCCAGTCCTTGTTCGACTATCAGTTGATTGGCACAGTGGCGACCGATGGCGACCGCTGTAGGTCACAGCTCATCCCATCAGCGCCAATGTTCAACTTGCAAGTTGCCGTCGAGGCCACTTCGGGGCATTCTCAGGCCACGACGCCTCGGCCATCCTCGGCCCCACCGCCGCCTGCTGTCGGTCGCTCCAGTTCGGGTTTGGCCACGCCAGTTCTGAACATCGCAGGCCACCGCCCCCCATCACCCCGAAGAGGCGAGAGTGGCGTCGGCAGAGACAAAGCACTGGGGTGAAGGCGCCGGACGTTGTGACGGGACACATTTCCCGCTGGCACGGGATGAGGACGCGTCGAGGATACACTCCTAAACTCTCCTGATCAGCTTTGCAGAAAAAGCATTCGACCCCGAAGGCCTGTCCACGATTTGAGAGACAGAGCTTGGTTGCACCCATTTCCAGCAGTCAGTTCGACACAGCCATGAAGCAAAATAGAGAATGTCCAAAAAGTCCGTGCGAGGGCGGGCTGCGTTCGAACATGCCGCTGCGAGCCGCACGTGGGAGTAGTTCAGTACACATGTAAGTTGCAGTTCCGCTGACCAACCAGTTGGCCACCATGGGGCTGGTGCCCCGAAAGATTTATCCGTGCTCGCCCTGATTTTAATTAACGGAGTGCGCGCGGTCGTGACAAGTGTAGCGGTTGAAGCTTCTTCTTTTGAATTCTCACCCACCACACCAGCACACCCGTGCAAAGGCAGTTGCGAGGACCCAACCCGCAGTTACTAGTAGCGACTGGAATAGTTTCGGTTACGTGTCGGATCGAGCCAACCGGCTCTAGCACGAAAGTCACAAAAGACGTTTCCGTGCTGGTAAGCGGAACCAAATTTGTCCAAATTTTGGCGAGATCTCACCCAGTTAGCAGGGGCGAGACTGTGGAGGATGCGTGTGTGGTTTGGGCTGTTGGCCGACGCTTTGATTGAGGTGCTGCAAAACAACGCAGTGACTTGAGCTATCCTTGTGTGGTAGCTGTGCTGGTACTCCCTGTGAGAGCCACTCGTAGCCAGCACGTCCGGCGGCGAAGCTGCCGAAAAGGAAGGGGTAAAGTAGTAAAGCTAGGCAGACGTCGCCTCATTGACAGGAGCTGTCCTTGGCCTCCCTCGCTGTGCCACGCGATGCCACGGTGGGTGCGACGGCACGGTTGAAGCTGGAGGCCAGAGTGCCGAAGGGGAAAACTCTTGAGGAATGGAGTGTCTGGAGTGTCGGCACTCGCACTCGCAGAGGAGTCTAAACTTGAGTCTAAACCCATACTTAGCGCATCGGTGCTTCAGGTGTCGCTGCCTCCATCGAGCCTTTGTGCGTCGGCGGCCACGCTTGCCGCGCTGCCTTTACCCAGCGGTGACGACCTTGGCCTGGTGGTAGCCCGGAAGCTGGAGACATGGATGCATCGAAAGTGTCAAAATAACAGAGACAGACGCTTGCACCCTACCTGCTGTGCTCTCTGTGTCAGGAACTTCGATGGCCCGGCCATCCGGAGAAGCCGCGCTTCGCGATCTTCAAGAACCTGCCCGGCCCCCATCAGCATCCTTCGCATCCTTCGCTTCGACTTTGAGAGATCCAGGACCATCGTTCTGGAAGCCGGGTTCGGAACTGGACGGGCTCGCCTGGAAGTCTCCGGACAGGAGATCTTGGAGGTGAGTCCTTGTGAGCTGCGTTGCAATGTGTTGCTATGAATCAATTGACCTTGGCGAGGTTGTCGAAGCTCGGCAAATCTGTGGTGATGTGCCCGATGGGCATCCGTGCGTTCCAGCTCGGATCCCCGGGGGGCGACGACTGCTGAGGAGCTAGAAAGTCAAATCACGTAGCGGCCTGGATACTGATTGCAGGCACTCTGGATCGGCTCGCCCTGCAATGTCACCAAAGCTGCCGTCCAACGATGGTTTTTAAAGCCGCTCGCACAAGGCCTTCAAGCTCGTGAACTCTTATGCACACCTGCCCGTCCCCGCTACTCAGGCACGGCTTCCCTGCGACTCTGGGACCCCGACCTCTTGGGATCCCGGCCCCAGCGCCTGGAGATGGCGATTCGCGCAGCCAAGCAGCTCGATGTGGGACTCCTCGGGGAGGCCCAGCTGCCCAGCTCAACGCTTCAGCCGCAAACCAGATACAAGAAAGCTCCACAGGCATCTTAAGCTTCTTAAGCTAACTTAAGGTACAGGCCACCGTGAGCGTTTGCGGCTGACAGGTGTCGGACGTAGGGTGTCAGTTGGCGTTTTCTGCTTCAGGTCGGGTCGTATGACGTAGACGTATCGATCAGTTCGATTCGGGTTTCCGACTCGACACCCTCGAACTTGCTTCGCGACATGTCGCAACTTGCAGGATGCATCTGACGGAGCAGTCCTGGTCGTGCGTGGGGTGCTCCGGCAGCTGCGAGTGGACATCCGAGATGCAGAGGGCGAGGCCGAGACGGGAAGTGAGAAAAGCGCCCCTGCTCAGAGGTTTCCTCTTCTGCAGGCTCTTGGAATGGTCAATTGGGCTGCGCTGAATCTGAAACTGAGGAGCAGTTACCCAGGACCGAGAGTTCGGAGACCGTGTGAGAACGAGCTGCCGCGAAGACTGTGTTCAATGTTTCTCGCACCAGAGCGACCAAACGAGCTTGAACCGCTGAATTCGCCACTGCGATGTTTCGAACACAGTCCAAACGATAACATAGGCAACATTCTACACAGGATCGAAAGCCTCAGCCCTGGAGGAGCCTTCGAGGTCCGAGAGAGCACCACGGCCGCGAGATGCGGACACTACGAGTGCTTCGGTGCGATTGGATTTTGCTCCATCTAGCTCAATGTCCTGTGAAGGAACCGAAATTCAATTTCTCTGGCTTCGCTGAGATAACGAACGCCACACAGACCAGACAAACATCAGGATCTTGCATTGGAGGTATAAGGCCATTCGAAGGGCTAAGGGATGTTAAGGGTGGCCTTGATTGTCAGATCCATTTGCGTCTGTGGTCTTTCTGGCCCTTTGTGCAGATGCAGAACTCGAAATGACAAGGTAGAGATAGCAACAGCCAATGCGTCTGTTCTCTGGCTGAGGTGCATCTGCCACACTCCTGGCATCTATCGCCTCTCAGCGGAGATGCAGGACCAGCGGACCGCCCATCCCACGCGAGACCTGAAGCTGTCTTTGAAAGGATTATCCAGGTGGCACCATCTACTCGCGAGTCTTGCACGTGCACTGCCTCCCAGAGCACTGCGCTCAAAGAGTCGACGTCGGTGCTCGTGACCTCGTGGAGTCCAACGCCCTTTATTGCTACTCAGGTTCGATGTCGTCTTCAAAAACATTGTCGTGATGCCAGGGCAGGCTTTCGAGCTCGCCTTCACTGGAGGCCCTCCTCGGAGCGACGACCGGACCTTTTTCCGCTTCACGTCGAGCGCACCGGACATTGCCAGCCTCGCCCCCAGTGCGCGCGAAATCACGTGACCCTGTGTCTGCAAAGTTCACAGCAACATACTGCAACACTAACGAAGTGATGTGGATGTGTCCATCCGTCTGCATTCAGTCTGGCAGCACCTGCACCGCCAGCATGCGCCAGCACCCGACCCCACGTGCATCAGATTTTGTATCATTTTACGTCGTGATGGCCAGATTCCCCTGCTCACGGTAAAAGAGTCGTTGAGCGAGGCATCGACGAAGGCGTCGGCCTGGTAATCGCTCTGAGCCCTGGCTCGGCGGATCTCTCGGTGCAGCTTTTGGAGCGAGAGACGCGTCGCGAGATTGCACGGGCAGGACCAGTGCAGTGCGAGATAGTGCGAGTGCAGCATAGCGCAGCTAAGCCCACGGAAAGCTTCCTGGACGTGTGTGTGTGTGTGTGTTCGCGTCAAACGTGCGTGCCTTAATTTATCTGTTGGATCTCTTGAGTTTGATGTGTGCGAGGAGCGCATGTGACTGTGGGCATTCCGTGGAATGCTTCAATTGGCGCTTTGGATAGCTTAGCAGGAGATGACCGGCAGCTGAGCCGAATCAGTCAGTGCCGCCATGAGCCGCCTTCGCTAGGACAGGCTGATGGATCGGACAAGGGACTGGTCTTGCGGTGGGGCGGGCCCGAGGCCTTAAGGCTTCGGGCCCGACTATGGTCAGGACTGCGGTCCACAGACTCGGACGTTTTCTGGGGTTGCACTGCGCCTTCGCTGCGAGGAGAGCTGGAGTTGACGCCGCTGTTGCTTGGGATGGCCAGCGCTCAGGCGAGAAAAAGCGACTCCAGGGAGTCCAAGTCGGCGTCTGCATAAGTCTGCTGTGCAGGCATCTCCCTCCTTCAGCGCCGAGAGCAGCCGGAAAGTGTACAAGAGGGCACTTGACATGGGCCATCCTGTGGTGGAGGCTGTGGAGGCCGACGTCACACGTCGTCACACGCTCTCCGAAACTTTTCCTGCCGTGTCACTTCGACAGGCTGCCGCTGTGGTGGCACAGCGCACGGCCGTGGACGAAGGCCTGGGCCTCGCACCGGACACCGCCGGCGCTGGGGCCGCGTTTGGGGTTCGCTGCCGCTTTCGCTGGAGCTCGGACAGCTCCGTGGTGCTGGAGCCCGTCGGCTTTGGGGCAAGGGTCTAAGCGGTCTCAGCTGCCCCTCCGCCTCCCTCTCCGCGAATCTCCGTGTGTCCTTCAGCTGAGGCGCTGGCCGTTGATGTCCGCATGGCACCAGCTTCTGTGACTACGGCCGGAGAGGAGGCGTCCTTTCAAACGGTCTTCGCAGGTCTTCGCACGTCTTCACATCATTCCAACATTCTACTGTAGCTGCAGGTGGAGGTGGCGGTGCAGATTGACTGCCCTCTGGGTTCAGGGTACGAGCAGCTGCACCTGCAGGTCGCTCCACTTTGCTTTTGGCAATACTCGTAGCTCAAATAAATGGAAAGTGCAAAGCTGTCCTGCAGAATGAAACACGAGCTCGATTCCAAGGCGAAGCGCATGCTGCCTGTGGTGCAGCCGTTGCAGCTCTTGACTCCTATCACAGGCTTTGCCACACCTGATTCCCATAAGGGTCTAAGCTTGACCACTCTGCCAGCCACTTCAAGACTGAGGGCACATCGACCTCCTGAGCCTCTTGCGAGATTCCGTAGATTGATTGCTCTGGCTTCAGAATTCGCTAAGAACCTTATCGGTTGAGCCGCACTGTGGCAGGTGTGTGTGCCGCTGCCGTGGATGCTTCTTCCCTGCTGGTGCGGCGCTCCCTTTGCAGAGTGTGGGTATCCTGCTTCTCGTGAGGTGCCTTCGCATGCACGGCTTCCATTGGCATTCAACCTCCCACGGTCCCATCTCCAGGCCGAGAGAATCCGAAAGATTGAAAGGAAAAGAAAGGGCTTAACGGCTTGAGCTGTCTTCTTGACACCTCAGGTGGACGTCGTCGGGCGGAGCATCCAGTTGCTAGAAACGGGAGACCTAGCCCCTCGGCCTCGAGCTCGAGAGCGCGAAGCCGACCGATCGAATGCCTAACTTCGCGGCTGAACTCTCTACGAGATGCTAGAGTTCAGGTGCTAGATGAGATCTAAGTTCAGGCCAGCCCTTGCCTCCGCGGCCATCCATCCATCCATCCCAGATCCCCTTGAAAGATCTTGAAAGCATGCCTAAGGATGCCTGAGGAACATCTTCAAGCGATTAGGCGAGCTAAGGTAATTAGAGCATATTGGTCTGGGAACCGGGCATCTGCTTCAGTCTTTCAAGTCAACGGCTGGTAATGGATTGCCCAATTTCACGTAGAATGCGCTGCCATTGCCCCAAGAAGACACCATCTGGGCAACAGAGCAAAGATACGCTGGTGATTCCCGGCTGTGAAGTGACACATCATACACTTTCTTTTTTCTTTCCCTTTCTCTTCGTCTCTGCGTTGTGTGTGATTCAATGTGCTTCCTCTCTTCATCAGTCTCAGCTCTCTTTGTCGCTTGTGGCAGGCCATGCAAGTCGGGAAGGTACAGGTGGCTTCATAGTGCCCCACTCTTTTCACTGATGCATGCTGATACTGTGGGCATACATGGGTCCTTTAAAGCAGAGTCAATCTGGAGCAATGTGCAATGCTTACAGAGGGCGGTGTTGTGTGTGCTGTTGCTCTCCTCCTCTGACTGCTCCTCTGCAGCTGCATAGATCAGGTTGAGCTTGAGACCGGATCGGAACTGGGAGACTCGAGCCTTCGAGTTCAGGCCGCGGGGGGACCGGTACCCGCGGCAGACGCGGCGACGCCATCGAAGACGCGCGTCAAGTCTCCAAATGCATCGTCAGGCCATTGACTCGCAGCTTGTTCCCGCAATGCAAATCTCAGTCTGTGCCTCAGCACTCAGCCCGGCTTTGCCGCCGCGCTCTGCTAGCTTGCTCATTTTTGTCAGGTCTTCGTGCGCAAGGCAGGTCGATTGAGAGTAGCGTGACTTGTGTTGTCTTCTGACAAGCTCAGGCAGGTCTCAACAGATGAACACATAATGATTATGAGTCAAAGGCAAGCCTATCGCTTGAGCAAGGGCCAGCTTAGTAAGTCCATCCGCGTGACCAATCGCAGCAGGCGGCGCAGCATAGCCTTAGCCACAAAGCCATAAAGGACCTTGCTTGTCCACCAGAAAACGATGCAAGAAAGCTTTGTCCGAATCAGCCTTCTCGAGCAAATTTGGAACGGAAGAAAGAATCTGAACTACCGCCGCGATCTCGAGTCTCGATCGCAAGCAGAAAGATAAGGCTCCAAGAGCCGGAGTCAGGATCAACCGTCGTATGCCGGCCGCTGACGTTAGTGCGGGTGGCTTTTGCTGCAACGCAGGCGTTTGCCGCAAGAATCGACTCTGTGCCGTCCAGGCACAAGTCACAAGTCTCGGAGCGAGAAATCTATTCTGAGTCCGCCACTGCCATTTTTTTCTCGAGGCTGCCGCTTGGATCCAGTGCCTTGTGCCCGCTTTATCTCGTCGATGCCGGATGCCTGGAAGCAATGCAAGCCTCCAGACAAGTTCGAGGCATCTGCGTTTGACAGGGGTGTGTGTGTGTGTGTGTGTGCTGAAATGTGCTGAATTGGCCCGGCAGCACGGATCATTTAGGGTGCCTCGAAGTGCCGCAGATCGTTGTGCTTCTCCGGCTCTCCAGACAGCTGGTACCACTCGCTGCGAACAGGCTGCTCTCGAGTAGCTGCGCCCAGTAGCTGAAGTAGCTGAGCTCGCTGCGCCATGAGCTTCTCCTACAGTCCGCAGTTCTTCTTGCACTTTCCCAAGTATCATGCGCCTCACTTGAAGCCTGGGGAGGAGCACAAGGACTGCAAGCCGTTGCTTTTGTCTCTTGGATATGTTCGTGCATGCTCACTTCTACCATCGTGGAAGGACCCGTTGGACGAGATCAAACCTCGTTGCCTCGCAAGCTGTGCAGACTGGCTCCAGGAGTACAATGCCTGTGTGCAACGCATCTCGATGCGCACCGATGGCAAAGGCGACTGCAGAGGGCAGTTTGAGGAGCTGACCATGTGCCAGGACTGGACCACCGAGCAAATAGCAAAATAGAAAATTCGCCTCTTTCAGGTGTTGGATGTACTAAAACATAAAGTTCATCATGAAGTTATGAGACTGGCAGTGATGTCGTACTGCCTGCAGGATCACTGCATCGCGCATGAGATATTTCACCACGTGAAGTGAGACGAGACTCTGCCGATTTTTAGGGTGCTAGGCTGCAGAGACGAAGAAGGAGCATTGCAGATGGACCCAATCAAAGAAGAGTAAGATGACGATGTTGGTCATGCGCAGAAAAGAAAAGCCTATGCCATAGCAAAGCTACATGGACATCATTTGAAAGCTTCCGAATCCGTACGCTTGCAGTTCAATGGCACCTGGTGTCTGCCTGTCTTGAGTGAGCCACATCGCTGAGGCTAATGGGCAGACTATGGCACTTCCCAGCAATTTCCAGGTGCAGGGTCTTCGGGTCACACGATCACTCGAAGACTTTTTCAATTTTGCACCCTGAAGAGGTGGACGTTTTCTCCAGTCATTCAGCATTGATGGCAGAGGTTCGTGCCAGGGGCGCGGAAACCAGATGGGCAACTGACAAAGTTGTGACAGGTTCATCGCTCTTCGAAAGGGACGTCTTTGTACCTGCGACCATTGAGCGAGGTCCGATCTTGATGAGTTTGAGGCGACTGCCCCCGACTTGTCGTTTTCAGGGATGCGCACTCCTCAGCGCGGCGGTCCGGATGCCGGACGGGAGGTTGGAGACAGCACATGCAGAGGTATGGGCATGTGCGAGAGATGCAGGCGGTTGCCTTCGGATGTGGCGGAAATCTGTGTGGTTCGAGGGGCGCTGGTTGGCCAAGGGCAGCTTCTACTACAGCCAGAGTCCCACTGCGAGAACCAGCCTCCTGTCGGCCTCGGCAAAAGAGGTTGAGAAGCCTCCCCGAGGCCTGGCTCACGGCTGAACTTAGATGCAGAAGAGCTCTTCTCAGGCTCGCCGGCTCGGTACCAGTGCTTTCTTGGCGGACCCTAGGAGGCGAAAGAGGCCGTCTCGCGGGAGGCAAAGCGAGCGCCGGTCGACCGCCTTTGGCCCCCGGCTCGGACTCGCGATACCGCGGCACCGCTGCGCCGCGGACCAGACTCGAAATGCTTTTTGAACTGTTTCGTTTTCCTGCCGTGTCTCTAAGGCTTTCTCTCTGCGACTTGCCCAGCTCGGATACAGGCCACTGCAAAGTCTTGCCTGTACGACGCTGTATCCACGCATCTGCATCCGTCTTCCGAGGCATGCTTGTAGTTACGGGCATGCTAGGAGTCGAGAGTCTGGCTGCGGGCAGGTCCCTTGAGGAGACTGCTGAGAGCCTCGCAGCCGAGGTTGCGGCGGTCTTGTCAGGCACGAAAGCCCCAAAAGTCTCAAAAGCCCAGGAAGCCAATGCCCCCCTTGCCCTCCCTATTTGCCGCGCCGCTTCTCTCTTTGCGGATTTGGGTTTGGGGCTGCAGGCGGCCTTTCGAGCCCTGGCCATGGAGCGTTGCAGGCGACCGGAGCAGCCGAGAGGAGAGTGCTTTCATACAGTGCGAGCCGGGAGTCTGCGCATTTTCTTGGCGACCTGGAGAGACGGCAAAAGCAGTCTCTCGCGGTTTTTTTGTGCTTTTCATGCGAGGTTCGAATGGTCCGGGCGCGATGGTCGGTGAAGCAGGAGCAGTGCAGTGACTTGACAATGCCTCCGGCAGCGCGAAGTATCTGATCTTGAAGCAATACTTGCTGTACGTACGCGAGAGGAACAAGGAGAACTACTACTTGGAGCAGAAGTCGATCTGCAGGTATCCGGCATGTGTAAAGGGAGGCTGCATCAGCACCTTGCACTGTTCACTCCCAGGTCTCTGCTCGTGAACTTGCTGAGGCACAGTCTGATCCAATCGCCAGAGCTGCCGGTAGATGGGAAGGGCGATGAGAAGCAATCTGGCAAATAACTTCTCATCCCCCACCGCACCGCAGATTGTGGTAAAGTCCCCTTGGAAAACACGGGCTCTGCCCCCAAGTTGAAGATCGCGTATGCTCGCGTTGCAAGTGTGTCATAGTGTGTCACTGTTGCAACATGACATAGATAAGATAGGAGACTGTAAGGATCGCACATTTAGAAGATGATGCAGAGAGTTCCGCCTGTTTGTCTGACTAGTCCAGTTCAGCAAGTCGGGATAAGACGGTAAAGCTGAACCTGGGCAGAGCTTGCGAAGCTTTCGCGATCTTTCGCTTGTCAACAGCTTTGTGCCTCCTCGCAGGTGGCCGGACGCAGCGCAGAGCTTGGCTTGAGGGACCTTGCAGAGGTCCTGTGGACCTACCAGGACCTTCCAGCCTCTTGCGAGAGATAACAGGTTGCCAGGAAGGGACAGCCTTGAGACCCTTTGAATCCCTTTGAGAATCTAAGACATGCGCGAAGCTCATCTTGTTGTTCTTGGAACAGGACGTTCAACCGAACGAGTCGCCGGGCTCCCAGACTTTGTCGGGCGACGCAGTCGCATCAGCTGAAGTCCCGGCAGGTTGCGGCTGTTGGACTTTGGTTGGGGCGTCCGCGCCATTGCTGAGGTGTGAGTCCCAAGATGTCCCAAGCAAAGCAATGTCAATGCGACGGAAGTTACAGGAGTCGGATCAGACGTACCACGAATTAGAGCCGCGAGCCGGATCCGATCACGCGAAGCAGCCATGCGAAGCCCGCGGATCAGATCGGCCTGCCCTGCGAATCGCATCAGACAGGGCACGTATCGGATCACGCAGAAGCCCCTGAATCATTCAGAATCAGATCACCTGTACAAGTGTCAATCATGGGGTAGGGTTACCCCCTTTTTAGCCTCGAGTATTTTGCAGCCACAAGGGCATCAGCTGAAGTGCTTTTGCCTTTAGTCTCGCTGCCGGTGTTGTGCGTGGGTGTGTGTCCGTTCGACCACGCCTGCCCCTCATACCGCGTGTCTGAGCCAGTGTCCCCAGCTTCCCAGCTTCGTACTTCAGTGAGGGATCATCCAAGGAAGAGCTTTGTTCCTGCGAAGTGGGCTGTCTTGCCATTCCAAAACCGCCAAAATCCAGAAGGGGAGCACGAACGCAAAACCCTGATTGATGTGTCTGATCTGATTTGGGGATTTGGTGTGATCCGATTCCTGCCCTCCCGCGATGCGATTTCACGTTATGCGGCCCGCTATCCGATTCGCAGCAGACTCGATCCGATTTGCAACGGGCCGTGCGATCCGATTCGTGCACTGCGCGATCCGATTCGTGGCGCCACCGCAATGCCCCTTACATGCTGGCACAGTACCTTTTTTGGAGGAGCCAGCAAGCTCATCGCGTTGCGGTGGCTGTTGCGTTGGGGCCTGATGCCGCCGGCAAGCAATGCAGCCACGAGGGCGAAGTGAGCAGTGCAGGTCATGTCGCACTGCCGCGGCTGTTGCGGAGAGGACTCGACCTGCGGCGACCTGCAGCCTCCCGAGACGCCGAAAGTCCATGGGATACCCGCAGTGGCATTTACTGTATGGCGTGAGCTGCCCAACGCGTGGTCCTCAGGTCCACGCTGGATGCGACAGCAGGGTGGCACTCTCTTCAGCCGCGCATTGTCAAAGTAGAGGGACCCAGAGTCACGGCGCTGGCGCTGGAGCGAGGCGTTGTCCTCTATGCTGCCGTCCTTGCAGGCTGTGCATGTGCGGCGATTTTTCAGGAGTTGCGACGATCCGATACTGCGACGGCATTGTCACGGCCGACATCCAGGCTGCCAAGCTAACTACCAACTCAAAAAGCGCTACAGATGGGTTTTGATGGGATCCGTCTGTCAATCTGTGAACATGGCGTATCATGGCATCAAGTACCCTGAAGCACAGGACGAGTTGCAGTTGTCTGGAACATGGCTTTTGGATGAATGCGCATTTGCCAGGTCACAGTTGCCCATGCTAGGCAGCTCATGGTGCGCTCCGCTCCGGAGGCAGACGCAAATCTCGAATCGCTGATGCATCTTTTCGCAGTGTGCTGCAGATGTCGGTGGGGTTTCCCGAGCTAATTGAAACGAGTTGTAGTCATGTCGTGTCAGGGCGGGCCATCGCCAGCGTTGGTTGCAAGGAAGATTTTCTCAAATGAGGCAGGGCATGCCAACCGCGAGGTGTACCTTATGCATCAGGAGTTGGCGAGTAAGGTAATATACTCCTTCGACTTTCCTATGTTTCGTCTTTACAACTTGATCTGACTTCCATGGCTGTGTTAAAGGCCTGTGACGCACGCCTTTGCTCACCGAGTGCTGACTTTCCATTCTTGTGCATCGTGTCGGAGGCAAACTCAGCGCCGATGCAAGCCAAGTTCCGTGCGTTTCGCGAGGCCAGGGTAATTGCATGCTGTCAGTCCTTACCATCAGTATTTGTTTTGCATCGCTTATTTGAATCACAACAACCAAAACCTCCAAAATCAGAGATGGTGTATCAGAACCCGCCTCTACGAGTCGAAGTTCAGAGCATTCGGCCACGCCCACTGCAAGCCTGCAGGGTAGTTTGGAAGCGGAAGAGTTCTTGCCAGGGCCTCGCCTTGTGAGGCTTAAGGCTGAAACTTCCTGGTGCGTTTGTGATCCGAGAATCTGAGACGAAAAACAGTTGGTCTTTTAGCCTTCAGCTCGGCAGATGCTGTTCAAGGTCCGACCCATTCCTGATGCAGAACTTCCACCTCCAGTGCAACCCGACCGAGGCTTCCAGAACAATCTGGACTCGGTTGGAAAGACAGCCAAGTTAGCGTGCAATCAGCCTGCAAACCTCAGCAGGCAGCAATGCTGGAGTTCTTCAACTTCCAGGACTTGTTGAAACGCCTGTATGTTCGCGTAGGTTTCCTTCGTGGCTTAATCGTGATGACCTGCAGCTGAAACATACTTGAGCGCAGGCCAGTGGGGATGCCTGCGTGCTGACAGCCAGGGAGCCTTCTGTGACAGCCTTGCAGAGGCTTTCGATCATGCAGAGACTGGGTGCATTTCTGATTTGCATTTGCCAACGTTCGGCCGTGTGAAGTGGCCGGAGCTGGAACAGGCTGTCTCCAAGTCGCCTCGGCCTTGAAGCCTCTCTACCCGGTAGTGTTGGCGGAGGCGCAGCTGCGCGCACTTTGTGCTTCAGTCTTGATTGAACCAGCTTGATCCAGGTATTGTTCTCGAGTGGCCCTTCGCACCACAGTTCCGGATCGTCCAGGCGACCGGCAAACAGAACAGCCGTTCTGTGACAGTCTATGGCCTTGCGGGTATTTTCGAAGGGATGGTCAGTGCAAGTTCATGACAAATTCCTGGTTCTTGATTGAACTCCATGTGGTGTGTCAGTGAGCTGCAGCTTCTGAGGAGAGCCAACTGCTCGCAAGCGGAGAGGACCCCCTCTATCGTGATTTGTTACAGCTTGGTTTGCAACGCTGAGAAATGAGTTGGTTTTCAGTCGGCTCAATGCTTAGCGAGGTGTGTGCGACTTTGAGAACTTCCCAGCCAGAAGCCACAGCTCATTGCTCAGCTTGACTTGCACCGCCCGAGGTCATACCGTACCAAAACTGACTTTGGACAAACACGGTTCGGCTTGTTTCTGACGTTTCAGCAGGTCGCGAGGTCAGAAGAATTGCTCAACCTCGCTGCCAGTCAGGAAATTCACCCGGAGCCCTGCAGTTAAGCATCGTGGGTAAGGGCGAAGGGCATCAGTGCTCGCATGAGGATCTGTGGCTCTCGAATAGTGCCCATCGCAGGTCATGAAAACAAGCTGTGCCTCGAGTCCGTACACATTCTCAATCGGAAAGAAAATACCAACTTTCACTTCAGGTCGTCGTGTGGACCGGAGGCCATTCGATCCAGGCCGATCCTCTGTTCTTTCCCTCTGCCTCTCTCTGCTTGAATCATCTTGAATCCATTCGCCTTGAGGCAGACCTGGCCCAGATCCATAGCTCGCAGGGAAACGTCTCTGTGGAGGCCTGGTGGGCCTGGTGACTCCAAGTTCGTGCATGGGCCATGGCTTGGCATGGCTTGACTTCAGGTCCGTCCATCTCACAAGGGGCCAGAGCCTGAGGACCACGAGCAGAGAGCTTCAAACTCGTGGGGCAGCAGCTTGTGAGGCCATTCGTAGACTTGCGTCTCGTGTGGCACGCTGCCGTCGAGTCAGGAGTCTCCGAGGAGGCTGGGCAGATCTAGACAGTCTCACCCAGCGACGCAGCACGCAGCTCCGTGCAGAGGTTCAGCTTCTGCTCTGGTCTCCCACGACGAGTCAGGAGGGCTTTGGTCCAGCGCCGGAACGGCCAACAGTCCTGGACTTGACAGGCAAGCAACTGTCGAGTTCGGGTGGAGCCGACGAAGGCGGCAGACGGGCACTTTCGTTTGTCCACCTGGGTCTGGGTACTTATTATTGCAGTGCTGTGCGAGAACGTGGTTGATTGCCAGCTTCGATTTCGAATCCTTGTGTCCAGCTCTCGGCACACAGAAAGAAGACAACAATAATTCTTCGAGTCCCGAGAAGATGCGATTCTCAGAGGAGGCCGAAAGGTGGCAGGAGCAAGGAGGGGCCAACCACGATTCAGGTCGAGTCTGGCTTCCAAGCATCACATAGTCACGGATGCACATGCTGCGAGTATGCGATGCTGCTAGTGCAAAGAGCAGATGGATCAGCTTCGAAGTTTGACTGCTACGGCATGCACAATCGAATGCAAAGAAGAAGCGGGAGGGTGGATGGACCAACGTCTGGAAGCAGCTCAGACACGGACTTGTGCCAACCGTCACAAGCCGTTCTCGTCTCTGCTTGAGTTGCACGAAGTCCTAGCACTGCCCTTGTGCCGCGCATCGGTCAACCAGCACGTGAAACATGTTGAACAGATGATAGGTGTCAATGAAGAAGAGTGTGGATAATGCTGCAGTGACACCAATCTTCTGTCACAGCAAATTCAGGCAGCTCCTGGCCTTGGGACAAGTCCAAAACAGCATCCTTCATACATGGTGTTGGTTTGCTGTCACGTGGCATAGGTGTGGACCGAACCTTGCGGCTCGGTCACGCACCTTTCACCTTTGCGCTGTTATTGCTGCTTCAGGTTCATTGTCCTCAGCACGACGGCAGGCCTTCTGCTGTGAAGTGTCTGAAAGAAGTGCGCGCTTGCTGAAGCTCAGAGCCGTCGCTTGGCGGAGGTCGGGCTTCGAGCTTTGTTTGCTGGCTTTGGCGGTGGCAGCGATGGTTTGGTTTCTGGCGAGGTGGTGCTCGTGGGGTTGCACACAGTGTAATTCTTGTCTACTCGCATGAGACAGACAGACAGAGAGTCTGAGAGAGAGAGAGAGAAACGTCATCGGTAGTTTTTCTCCTGAAACCGAGCATCTGTGTCTTTCCCGACGCCCCCACAAGGCCCCGAAACAGGGGCGCCATCCGGCGCGGGGAGCCTTACCTGCTCCCTGGACCCCGGAGGAGAAGAAGAAAGCAGAGTAGGGGTTTCTTACGAGGGGTCAGGCAACGCAACTCATGCAGGATTCAGGCAGTGAGATCTGAGTGCGCAAGTGACTGTGACTTTGCTGATGCCAGTGCAGAGCTGACATGCATTAGTGCAGAAGTGTCTCCGCGTCTGTTGTGGTGCTGGCTGTTCTCGTGTTGTTGTTCTTTGCCTCCTTTTCCACAATTTGTTTACGACAAAACTGCTCGAGCCTGTGTCGCCTCGTGCCCTGCATACCTTTTCAAGATGCAGATTTCGCAGGGGACAGGACCCTATCTCCACATTGGCTGCGCAGGACAAAACCCCTCTCCTTACTACATCTCGCTACGTTGCACCTGGGACCGGACCTCATCCCTATCCCCACTACTGTGCACACGCGACGACGACGAGGCCGAGGACGAGGACGACGACAATCCCTTTTCGGCCTCCGCTTGAGCCAGTCGCAAACCAGCAAGCAAGCAAGCCAGCAAGCGAGCGAGCGAGCCAGCGAGCCAGCGAGCAAGCAAGAGAGTCAGAGAGAGAGACCACCGGTGTCCTGGGCGAGAGAAAGAGAGACGTTGTCCAACAATCTGTGTGGATTAGCTTGGCTACAAAGGCACAGAGACAGTTTACGATTCTTTAAAAAGGTTCGCACGGCCCAAGGAATTTTGCCTTGCGGGCAACGCTCGTCTCGCCGTGGTGTCTTTCGTCGGCCAGCCAACAGATGCCACCGGATGTGGAGTGGCGACATGCTTTTGCCACCAAATAGCTGCCTAAGTCAAAGTTGGATGTGGCTTGTCTTCGGTCTTCCAGGATTGTATGCTAGGGCTTCCACTGCAAATTCATGGTCGCTGCAATTAAGTTCTGGTTTTGAAAGCTTCTCTGTGAATGTCGTCGCGAGTTGCCTTTTTCATTTCAGCGAACCTGCTGCGGCTCAACTTCTATTTCTATGGATCTAGAGCCCAAACCAAAGTCGCAAGCACTAGTTTTTGGATTTTGTGTTGATCTGGGTGCCTTCTGCCTGCTTTGCTTCCTCGCAAAGGAAAAGCGTAGCTAAACGTCGCGACCAGCCTTGTCAGGCAGATGCAAGGATTAGGTACTCGCAGCTATTCTGGAATATTTTGGCTGGAAAGTTTGGGAAGGTGCCCAAATGCCGAATGGGTATTACAATAGCTTGAGACCCGGGCTTGACGATTGCGCCGCGTGGTTCCTGTTCGTCGTTCCTGGCGACGGTTCGCTTCGTACGATTCGATGTCGCGCGTTGGGTTCCCATGCTTTCCCGATAATCACCTTCTCTGCGACAGCTCGGTTGGTGCTTTTGGTTTGCGGGCTTGTGGCCGCCGTTACCGGTAGCTGGCCGACTCGCGATTCACCCTCGAATTGAAAGAGTTTGCCTCGCGGGAATTCCCGAAGCCAGGTCCTGCTCCAGGCCACCACCTGCAGATGGAAGTCCAGGTCTTCTAGCTCCGTTGGGCATGCGGCATGAGCAAGTTGCCCGACTTGCGCCTTCGCTGAGGCTCCGGACTTGGAGCAGCCTTTCAGGGCGTTGGAGCCGGGCCGGTCTTCAGCCAAAGACTCACTTCCCAGTCTCGAGTCGCTGCAGCAGCGCACAGCAGCGCTGAAGCTGAAGCCGTGAGGTGGTGATCCCTTTGGTGGCCCTCGTGCGGCGGACGCCTCGGGGCTCTGGTGCTGACCGTAGAATACCGTATTGAACCTTATCAAGGTCTCCCCGTTTCAAGCATTAGGCCGTGAGCTCAGTTCCAGGCACCGCACACTCTATCCAGAACCGTCAGACCTGCAGGCTGAGACGAGACCGTGCGCCAACCGTCGGGAGAGAACAAAATGGACTGATTTCTTACCAAAGCTAGCCTCTCGATGCGCCTTTAGCGGCTGGGGTTACATGCGACTGCTGTTCATGCTCAGTGTTATGAACAGATGGTTGTCACCAGGTTTGGGATCGTACGCTGGAGGTGCTTGCTACGCTTGATGTGATCCCGAGGAAGAGTGCACCGTGGGTGCAGAGATGCAGCATGATACAGCTGACGTTGCTCTCTAGAAACGGGCTCCCATTGCCCATTTTCAGACTATTCGGCTCCGCATACGTAGCGGATTTGTGACAGCTCGGGCGGGCGGTTTCGTTCTTTCGTTCCATGGCGATCTGATTGTTGTCTTCGCGGCCTGTCTGAAGTGTAGGCTTAGCCGAGATCATGATCCCATCACTCTGAGACAACTCAGGCATGGGTTTGGATTAACACCAGGTCGAAGGGGCAAGGGAAACGACTCATATTTGTAGAATCTCTTAGAGGCATTTCTTCACTGACCTTATAGGCCCTAGGCTTACCACGACCGACGATTTCCCGAAGTTTCCTACTGTACAGGACATGTTTGGCGTGAGCAATCTTGTGCCATGCGAGATGCAGTGAAGCCGAAAGCCTGCATAGCCTGCTTTCCTCGACATCGCTTGTGCACGCCTCATCTTCCCAGCGGTAGATTACACTCCTGCTGGTCTTGTCCGACAGCGTTCGCATGCGTTTGCCTTGTGTTCTCCTGTCGAGGTGCATATGCTGTTGTGGTCCGTCTGAAGAATACCGAGAAACGGCTGATGTCTTTGCCTCAAGCGACTTCAAGGATCTTGTTGTCGCAGCATCTCAATAAGCCTCGGATGTTGGAAGTCCTTCGCGTTGGCCCTCAAGCATGCAGGAGACGACACGTTCTGACGCCGAGAAACCTGGAGCATCGCCTTCGGAAGAGCATTGGCTGCAGAGGCGCTTCTGGCATTAGAGCTGGAGATGGAGTTTTTACACTGCGTTGAACATATGAATCCTTGCGGTCAGAGTACATCTGGTAAAAGCTGGGAGCATTGAAGTCGGCATCTCCACGGGCTGCACATGAGCACATGTGTGCCTTCGCAGACCTGCGCAGGAACTGTTCTTGAAGCCTTTCACCAATCCTTGCCCATTCCTTCGTACTCCTACCATTCTCGAGTCCAAAACAACCAGCAACAATTACAGCCATGTATTCGTGTAGGAGGGGTATTAGTGCTAGCCAGCTTCGCGTTATTTTTCGTTACCTTTTTTTGCGGGGGTCCTTGGGAAGGCAGTGGGCAATTGGAGTACAAGCCAATTCATGCATGTCTCTTGACAAGACAGCACCCTGAACCTAGCCAAAATTCGAAGGGCTCTCACCTCCTCGGCATCCCCCCGCGGATCAGGGGACCATAGGGGACCTATAGATACCTCTAGTACGCTGGGTTATACATGCTTTGCCTGGGGTTCCAAGCTTTTACTGTATGTCCACTTACCAAGTGCCACAACTATCCACGGACGTTTGGGCTTCGAAGCAATGTGATATACAGGCGGGTAATCAACTCTAGCCTGCACAGCAAAATCCTGTAGGAAAACAGGGACAGCCCGGGATCCCAAAAACCATCTCGCGAGCAGTGACGCGAGCATGTTTTTTCAAAGTGTAGGGTACTCCGCCTGCCTTCCGCCGCACCCTGCTTGGCGAGACACCCATAGCAGTGGAACCACGCCCCGGCCCGCGCCGCACCCCGAATTGCGACCGCAGCGCAACCCCGCCCGGGCTCGCACCGCACCCCGTATCGCGACCCTCACCGATGGAACCCGCTAAGCCAGTTGCAATCCGTATCGCGACCGGTGGAACTTCCCGCGTCGCACCTCGTGTCGCGCCACCCCGCGTCGCACCCCGGCGGATCAGTGGCGGATCCGTTGGACGCCGAAGACTCTA